GCAGCGCCCTTATGTGTCGACCAAATGAGTTAAGATTTGGTACCTGGGGGTTTTCGAGCATGGCGATTTTATTTCCGGTGTCAGATTTTACTTCCGGGGTCATCCTAGGGGCGTTATCGGGGACCTTGACCCTTGTGTTCCCCCGGAACGATCCAGGTATGACCCTAGGTGAACGTAGAGGCTGAACTCGACAAGATCCCGAGGCAACTGTGCTTCTACTTCGAGACTACCTTCATCAAAGCGCGAGAATAAGAATCAGTAGTCGACGGACACGAAACTTCAAGCTGACACCTGAGGTTTCGCAACTGGAAGGTTGCTTGGATTCTAGACACTATGAAAATCTACTCAAGTAACGGAAATGAAAGCAGATAGTGAAGAATTTATAGAATTGTGCCTTATTTCAAAATTTCGGAGGAAGTAAAAACAAATTGCAGATTGAAAAGGATTTGGATGCTTTGTAATACAAAGTGCTTTGTCTTACATAACATTGCTTTGAAAGGTATTGACAGTGCGCGTTTAAGTGTTGGACTAGAAATTTGGATACGCAAAAGTGTTTTCCAAAAGGGATTTTCATCACGTCACGTGGCCAAAGCTGAATGGCCAGCCCTGCAGTTAAACACATTTAACTGTTCCACTTTACTGTCAGACACTTCTCAGTGTTCGAAGTATCCAGTCCAACGCGTCAAAGTGTACCACGTAGTGTTCAGCATGCGCAGTTGCACGCCAGCTGCAAGATTTCTTCATCACCTACCGTTTTGCCCTTTTTTAAAAAGATAAAAATAATTACGACCGGAAAACAGGAGCCTGGCGGCCCAGCCTCGGTCCAACCACCATCGATTGACTTGTCAATCATAGTCATGCATGTGGCCCTGGCCCTGGCCCTTTCCCGCTGTCGGGGTCCGACTGCACAGCACCAGTCCACTCGTCAGAGGCAGCGCAGCCATGGTCAGACTCCGCCGCTTCCACATCCAGGCCCTCGAGGGGACCATCCTGGCCGGGCTGGTCGCCATGTGTCTCCTGCCGGGGCCGCTGTCTCTTCCGTCGGTGGTCGGTTGGCCAACTGCTCATCGGAACAGTGCACAAATTACGAATTAAGTTAATTTTGTAAACTCGCACTCAAACTTAGGCTTGTACATAAAAGCGTTAATTACTGGTTTAAAACCTTGAGTCCAAAACCATGCATAAACAATACAGTCGATCAAATATATCGGAATTTGTGCACAATTCCTTTACTTTTGTACGCACCGAGGATGGAACAGCATTCCTTTTATCATGCGCATTTCCACAGAGCGCCAAGAGAACAACCACGCTCGTTCGGATGGAGAGATTGGGCAACTGCCCGGAATACCCGAACCTGCCCTGCGGCTTCTCAGAGTCGGGAGTGTTCCCCATGGGGAAAACGCAGTGGGGCAGGGGCATCATGGTGTTCGGCAGGAACTACACCAGGTTCACCAAGGTGGTGGCGCGCATCCTAAGGTGCACCGACAGGAACGACCCGCACTGCGAGCTTTTCCAGACCTGGCGTTTCGGAGACGAGTCCTGCTCGTTCCTCACCATGAAGGGTATGCTGTGGACGCCGCTCTTCCGCATGATCCCGACGCAGAGCTGCCCCATCCGAGCGGTAAGAGTTCACTGGTGAAAGGGCGTAAGTCCTCAAACTTCCCATTGGACTTACGCCCTTTTAACTTTTTACCAGTGAGTTTCACACGAAACCGCAAACATTTTTCCGCGACGGCCCCGGTTGTTTCCGAAAAAAAAATTCCGGGATTTCCACTTTAAACTTAATGAGAGAACTTCCCCTAAACTACAGTTTAACTATATACAAAGAGTATAGTTGAGCTATAGAATAAGTGTCAGTTATTTTAAACAACTGTAATTTTGTGTAGTTAAACTGTAGTTTCTGCTACCTTAGTTCACCCCGTGCAGATTAAATTAAAGTTGGAGTGGATAGGGTGAACAAGAGGAGCGAGAAAGGATCATGACTTTAAATTTGCCCTTTTCCAGGGCGCGTTTAAAATGGAAAACGTGACGGTCGACTTAGAAAGGTTAAAGGCGATAAACTTTCCAGACAAAGGTTACTGGAAAGTGAACGTAGAGGTTGAAGCCGACAAGATTCCGAAGCAACTGTGCTACTACTTCGAGGCTACCTTCATCAAAGTGCGAGAATGAGAATCAGCAGTCGACGGGCACAAAACTTCAAGCTGACACTTGAAGTTCGCAACTGGAAAGTTGCTTAGATTCAATAGTAGAAACGTTAAAAATCAATTTAAGTAACGGGAATGAAATCAGATGATACAATAGTTGTAAGAGATGTGTCTCATTTCAAAATTTCGGAGGAGGGTAGCCTACTGTAAAAAAATGTTTCGAAATTGGGTTGCATTGATATATTGTGCAATTGGCATGTGTCCAAACGCTACGTGTTCGTACTGGAAATTCGAATACGCTAAGGTGTTCAACTCGGTTCAACTGGGATATTGAACACGTCGCGCGGCCAGAATTGCTTGAGCAACCTTGCAGTTGAAGACTTTTGAGTGTTCGTAATCGTTCGAAATATCCAGTCCCACACGTCAAAGTATATGTGCAACGTAGTGTTCAGCACTCGCATATGCACGCCAGTTGAAAGCTCAACTCAACAGTGTAGTTTTTTCACTTTTAAAATAAATAAATATGTACGACCGAAAAAGAGACGGCCCATAGCGTCGATGCAATCACTATCGATAGCCTCGTCAATCATGGTCGTGCATGTGTCCCCTGGCCCTTCCGCCTGTCCGGGTCCGACTGTTACATAGCGACACGCTCGATCAACCGTTTGAAAACTTAAAAAATCAAAAACCACAGGTCGGAAAATGTACTTTGTTTTTCAAATATTTTTATATGGGCTCCTTAGAGGTAACTCGTCAAAGAAGAACCCTTCGAACGAAAATTTCGTCCCTTTTGCTCTATCTTGTACCGTTTGGGTGCTAGGGGGCATTTCTTGGCCAAAACAAGGTGAAAAAGATCAAATGGTCAATTAAATCGTAAAAAAAGACTTCATATCAAAGAATTGTAAAGGGAGTAATACTTAAGCCACACATTAGGCGTCGAACAACGCCCTCCTTTGGGCTCAAGGGTTCCGAGATTGTCTTCTATCACTGCAACGTAGATTTTTACATAATCCAAAATTAGAACTTTTAATGAATACCCACGTCGAATATTAGAAGTTTCATTTTCTTAATTTCACTGATAAACTAAGTGTTCAACAGCTCAACACTTGTAAGTGTGCAACTGCAAGTTGAATACTTGCAAGTGTGCAGCTCCGTAGTCGTACACTTGTAAGTGTTAAACTCGGTAGTTGTGCACTTGCAAGTGTGCAACTCCTCGGTTGAATACTTCCTTAGATTGGACGGTTACTGTGCAGGAAGTGCTCAACCGAGGAGTTGCACACTTGCAAGAGCACACCTACCGAGTTGCACATTTGTAAGTATTCAACTTGCAATTGTACACTTGCAAGTATTTAACTTGCAATTGCACACTTCGAAGTGTTGAGCAGATGAACACTTAGTTTATCAGTGTTTGGAGTAAGAAGTCCCCGACAAATGCTGAGAGCAAGTCATATTTAGCGGCCGGAAGGCCCTACTTCTGCACTCCTATTAACTCGTCTTGGGTGTCAGCGCCGCAGGCCTAGCTACACTGGTAAAATAAAGGCACAGTTTAGTGCCAGAGTGCCAAAGGCACTACACTTGTATGGAACTCATATGAAGCTAACCAGCTAAAGGAGTGAAAGGTCACATATAGTGCCTCTCCAAAGGCACTAAACTTGAGTGCCTTTGAAAAGGCATTAAACTCCGTTAGTGCCTTTTAAAGGTAGGGATTCACACCTTTGCTTTTCCAGTGATCTGTGAGCCAGGCGCGTCGCAGCGTTACAGTGTTTCTTGAGATATCGCGGAGCATGTTACGCGAGACGTTGTCTGGCGTACATATCGCCAGTATTAACTATGAGAACTCTTCGCTTTTATTTTCGATGAGCCTATCGGGTTACTCGTTAAAGTTCCCTTTAAACGAGCCTGAACGTGAAGGGCGCTGCTGAGCACAACGACTGAGTTGAATACTATCTCTAAGGTGAGTTGTTACAGCAGCTCATGGCGCCTGTGAGTCTCAGGGTAGGCCACACCGCGGTACACGGATGCGCTGCAGGCGAGATGTTGCCTACCCACCAGGCGCTGAGAGAGCAATAGGAAAGTTATTTGTAACTTTACAGTTTTGTATTGTAGTTTTACAATGCACATAAAAAAAATTCATATAAAACCTACAACAATATTTTTCAGAGTGGTTCTTTGCATTTGTTTTTCCCTCTACCGGGAGTCACCGAGGCAGCCGCCACTACCTCTGTAGGCCCCTCCCTCGGGCGCCACGGCGCCACGCGGGAGCCGGCGGTAGCCGAAGGGAGCCGAAGGAAGCCGACGGGAGCTTCAAGGCCGGTGGCGTGCGCAGCCTAAAGACACCCCGGCTCGGGTGACGGCCGTGATGACGGCGGTGGTGATCGGCACGCTATGGGAACGCGTCGCAGGCCCCCGTCACCCGAGACGACGACGACGACGTTCGGGTGCTACCGTGTGAAAAAAAATGAAAACTAGAAGAAAACGACAAGTGCAGTGTCCTCTACCACAACAACATGGACGACCGAGTTCGACATCCACGGGCGCGGCGCGGTGCTCGGATCGGCCGCCGCCGAAGGCGCTGCAGAGAGCGAACCGCTTCGGGATTACACAGTATTCGCAACACGCAATTATTTGCACGCCACGCGGGGGTGTGGCGGCCACGGATTGGCTTTCTAAGCCTTTCCGCGAACGAACGAGTGGCGGCAATATTTTGTAATCCAGCCGACTATAAGCCGTGCAGCGAGTACTTCAACTCGCGGCCGGTGGGAGGTACTCCTTTCACTACTACGAAAGAGGCCAAGTGCCACAAACAAATTAATGTGGTGGGGTACTTTTTAGACAGTCCCCAAGAAGACTGTATCAAAACTTTTTTTTTAAAAAAAATGGGGGGAAATCCAGAAAAAAAATGGGTCATAATGAAACTTTTCTGGAGAAAAATGAAAAAATGAAGAAACTCAAAAGCACTATCTGGATTTTTTCCAAAAAGGCATTTTTGGAAAATAACTGAAATCCCTACCCGAGGTAGGCGCGTCCACGGCAGAGCTCGCGCTGGCGCCGCCGAGCGAGCTAAACGGCGTTTATTGAGATGATCGCCAGCTGAGCGCGCCAAACGAGAACAACAAAATAATAAAAAGGAAAGACGCGAACTGTTCGAGCGGGGTACAATCATCGCTCAATGAGCCCCCTGCCTGCGCTGCAGGCCGGCGCCAGCCGGCGCCACGGGAGCCACACTGCCAAAGAAACAGTCTGGTTTACAATTACTATTTAGTTTTGTTTTTAACCGACAGATATCGACGTAAATCTTCTTTCCTTGTGCCATGGTTTATTTACTTCCGCTTTTCCATGAACCTTTTTTTTTTTTTCTAACTTATGTTTCGCTTGCTAGTTTAACAATCACTTTCGGCCGCAGCCTCACCTTTCCTCTGCAGGAGCACGTGCCGCGAGCGTAGCCATGGTGCAGACCCCGGCTCCGGTGACACCCCTGGAACAGGAAACAAGCAGGTCAAGATAAGCGCTGTGGCGGGGAGGGGAGTGGAGTGGCAGGGCGGGGCAGTCGCGGACGGCTCGGGTTCGAGTACCGGTGGCCGATGCCTCGCACTGCAGCCGGAAGCCCGCCGCCCCGAGCAGCAGGGAAGTACGTGGGCACGAGCTCGTCAAGCTGTTTATTGGCGCCTTACACGGCGGCAAAAAAAATAAATAATAATTCAAATTTATTGCTGAGCGAAACTAAAACTAAACATTAAATATTTAATCTGAATATGAATTTAAATGCTCAGCTAAGGGTTTAAGGAGCGGAGTGACACCGAAATGTAAACATTCCAAATCACTTTACGTAATGCCAACTTCTGAACGTTTCATGTCCAAATGTAAACAAACTGTAAACAATTGTTTCAAAGACTATTTTTGAGTGAAATAATACAAAAAGATATCATTTAGTCTTTTAAAATTACGCTCAGCCTTAAGTCTGCGACTTCGACTAGTTTAATTACTTCACACAACGCTCGTCACAACACTAAAAATCCTACAGAAAGGATTCATGCTCTATCGGAGAGCGAGAATCTGCGCCAAATTTCCTCGCTCTCATCTGGAGAGCGAGGTTTGATTTCCTCGCTCGAGTGCAGGCATGGATTAAAAGGAATGTTACTCTATTTGAGTGATGATGATTGGGTAACCTCACTCTTTTGAGTGAGGATTTCTGAAGTTAATCTCTCTTAATTTGAGGGAGATTTTATAATCATCCTCAATAAGAGCGAGGTTTCTAAATCACTTTAATGGAGCAAGAAGAAAAAATCTCGCTCTTTTTTCGGTCAGAATTCTCACTCCAGTATTTGCAGTGAAGACTGATAGTTTTCTCCTCTGTGTATAGCGCCATCCAGTCAACCATTTGGTGCAGGTCTCTCTGTGTGGCAGTCCGTGCCCAGCGGCCTGCATCCCCTTCGCTTCATCTTCTTTTGCTTGCACCCAGTTTGCTTCTCACAACGACGCCAGTGTGTCCGAGGTGCGACCGGGCACAGCATACAACTGGCAGGCTTACCTGCGTGAGCACACACGTACATGTGTGTGTGAGTATATGAGAGAGAGAGAGAGAGAGAGAGAGAGAGAGAGAGAGAGAGAGAGAGA